AAAATCCGAGGTATGACTAAACACGTTTGACAATCCGTGAAAGTAATATAGTGGATTGCAACACTTTACGCAGCCTTGTGGCACTGAAATCATGTTGCTTTTTCTGTTTCCAAAACTTTAGTTATGTTACACAAAATGAATTGTTACACACACACACAATTCATGCAGTAAATTTGTGATAGTGAAAATAGTCCCATACGGTAAATCTCATGGGACTTTGCCAAAACATTTCACCAAGCAACTTCTTAAGTGCAATTTTTTTCGGGAAACTTGTGGGCCGCGAGAATGTGACTTTGGTGTAGTGCAGTCAATGTCATTCAGCTAACAGACTTGCCCAAAACGTTTACTAAACAAGAAAACTGAGTGGTTTCAATGGTAAAAACATAATAAGAGCTGTCCAGATCGCCAAATATTGAACATTATAGCGATTGCATATTTACCGATCAATAACCCCAAATCCGTGAGAGTTTCCGGCTTCGACCTGGAAGGTGCATGTTTTATTTCCCCCGAAATCCACGAGAAGTTCATCAGTTAACTTATGCGTAATCTGTTGCCTTATCAATGCTGACTTTATATCCTGCCGATACGGTTTTGGTCGAACCATGGAGCACTAGGTTACTTCAGTGTCATTGCTAAGGTCGATGCAATCTCTCGAATATTGCACCAACTGAAACGTTCAGTGTATCACCAACCACGTGAATAGCTGTGAATCAGTTGAGTCTTCTGGTTAAACCAAATGAGTGTCTTACGAATTTATTTTCTTTTTTCCTCTCTTATACGTGTGTGTAGAGGTCATTAGGACAGGGGCAGAGGGTCAGTTTTCATTCGTCGAATTATCGACCAAAAGTTGATTCAAGCTCTTATACTTACTGCCGCTAAGGTCATACAGACGATGTCGTACTCGACGTCAACTGCTGAGAAGAGGTACTAAGAGTACATCACGCCCACTTTGGCATAGGTTATTCGCATTGTGAAGAAAAAGGGTTACGAATGAGTCTTCCGAATCTATTCTCCACTTACAAATTTGCTGAGACGTCACACCCGTGGAGCTAATAAACACGAAGTGAAAGGACAATGGCTTTTTAACTCACGTAAATGCAAGCTAATACGATTGTACATTGACCGAATGGTACAGGATTCAACTATTCTTACTCTTCAGTTAACTTTGATGAGCGCCCATTATTGATGTTTCCCATTGAGGGTGGAACAACTGGACAGGTGTTTCTGGAGGTTGCAGCAAAGGTTGGCTTTTGGTTACAGGGTAAAACCTACAATCATTAATTTTTGTTTTTGAAACTACCGTAGTATAGACAGTGGGGCGCCAGTTAAGAGGAGACTTTGGCTTGTGTTAATTGGTTATCTGGAGGTTGTGATCTTCTAACGCAGACCGATTTTCACAAAATTCACTTATGAGTGTCTCCTAGCCCTAGAGGCCTCATAACAAAGTACTGTCAGTCAAGCTACGCGTCAAGGAGGGAATGCAGTTGACATCAAAGAAGGCATGACTGAAGGGTTCTATTCATTCATTACCGAAAGCTTAATACACAACCTATGGTGTACTGCTTGTGTGGTCTTGTTTGGTGGTGGGACGTCTTACATGAAATTACCCAGCTGGGTGAGCATTTGTCATCTTACTAACCTTGGTGGAAGGTCAGCCAGCTCAAAATTAGTATACTTAGTTTGGAACATTGATACGCATCGATTAAACAGTGACAGTTTAAGAAAACTACAGACAAGAAATTTATCAAACCATCAATTCATTAAGTTCATTCGAAACGCCGGTCAATGATGTGGCCGAATTCGAATCAGGCGGGGATGTTAATCATGCCTGTTTTGGGGTTGAGGTCTTCGAATGAGAAAATGGATGGAGGTAGGCCCAAATTACACCAACATAAACAGTCAAAATGTAATGAGCTTTACTCATCCAAACATTCAAATACACTCTCAGTTTCCCAAATCATTCCCAGTAACTCGGCTACGTATTTCCTTTGTCATGTGCTCAACGGACCTTTTGCGGCAGCGTTTCGGAATATTGATAGCTCAGGTGCTTTGACTAGCTATAGGTCAGGTGGCTTACGATGTGTTTATCAAGCTTGGCAATTCGCTTGCAAACGTTTCGTCATCAATCATAGAAACTCGATCGGTGCGTGGAGGGAAATCACCCAGCTCGGCGAACAGTTGAGCAACCGACTAATCTACAAGCAAGACGTATTTTACTGTCCTACAATTTTTGTACCACCAGATAGGCGTTTTGCAGCCGCAAGTGAACTCATCGGACACTCGTGCTACACTACGTCAAATATCTTGTGCGATCACAATTGTTTCATTGTTTAAATCTGACTTTCAAGGGTCAGAAAACTGTAGTCTGTTTGGAATGTTTGTACTTTCAGGCGAAAACGAAAAAGTTAGGCACAAAGATTTCAGCAGTTACTTCATTTCATTCTTGGGCTTCGTTATCATTTAATCAGATTGCGAATAGGGAGGGTGTTCCAGTAAGTGCATGTGTGGACAATATCTAGATTGAGTCAACTCAATTAAAGGGAGTCTGTTAGCGTTGCGACAAATCACAAGTTACCATTGGTAGGCGCTGTGGGATCACACCGACCTGTTGAGCTCCTAGTAGGACAGGAACGATAGTTGGCTGTCAAAGCGTTTGCAGAAACTTTGTAAGTAGTTTGTTACTTTGGGGCCGTTTACATCAACGTTTCACTTAAGTGACGGTTGACCGGTCAATCTGGGTTAGCAACAAACAACAGGGTTTTTGTGGTAATTTTTCTCGTCAATGGAAACGAGCAGTTCTAGGTTTGAAAAATGTTTCGTGCAGGAACATAGAATGTGGTTGGAAGTTGTGCACTAGATCTCCTTTAAACGAGTTACTTCTTAGTGAAAGGGGATCGTGATATTCAGTTTGGTCAAGCTAAGCTAGCGACAGAAAATGGCGTTCGTTCCTGGTCATGTTACGTAGCTGAGCCTATTCATTGTTTCAGGAATACAGTTATCAGACAGTTAGTGGTCATCATGCTTCTGGAGAATTTTTTGTCCATTATCTGTGTCTTAGGCGCAGTCGTGCACTCACACCTGCCTACGGCGACTGAAATCATCGAACACACCCGTCCACATCCAACGCGTTCAGGCACAACACTGTCTGGAACGATGACCGGTAGTCAAGTCACATGCCACTTTTTTTTTAGGTATTTTGTACATGCTTGTAAGTAGAAACAAGTCCGTTAGAATGCTCATTTGGAAATTCAACGATGTTGGAGGGAAAAGGAGTCTGGCTTTTTATGCTAGAGTCGCTACTTTCAGCCTACTTCGAAACGTTCCACGATACTCTCGTCTTTCCCCACACTCGCGAATTTAATCAGGAAGACGCCATCTGTGAAGTAAAATACTGGCTCTAAAACTGAGCTCGTCCTAGGTGGTAAGTATCCTATCAAGAAAAGATAGATTCGTGTATTTGAACATCTATCCCAGGGAAATATCGGGCTGTCTTTGAGTATGTGCTTCTGGTAAATAGGAGTTTAGTCCAGTCTATTGTCAGTGTCTTCATTTTTTTAAACATGTGTTTTTTAAGTTTTCGAATTCACAGTTGCTCAGTTTGAATTTCAGAACAAGGTTGGTGGGACAATGAGCGCTCAACGAAAGACAACTGAAATTCTCCAGAATCTCTCATCTTCGATCGACTTAAATTTCACCTGGGGATCGTATTGGATGCAACTTAATATGTTTGGTGGTCACGTACTACATAAGACCGATGGGACTTTCGGGAACAGAACATCACATGAGGGTGAAACCGGTAGTGGGCTGTTCATAGTTCCTGACGACCCTGTGAGTAGTACTAAAGTACAGTTTTATATCTTGAAGTGAAACGAGAGCTGTTCTTCGTGCAGCATAAACGAGAGATTCGGGCGAATTTTAGCTGAGTCCTTGGTGAGTACTAGGCTTGCATGCGGCGTAGTGTTAACAGTGACATAGTGCAATGCGATGCCCGAGTATGATGTAACAATGATGTAACAATGCCCAAGAAGTGCAAAACGGGTAACGGGTTATTCAGATTTTCATCAGGCCAATGAGTAGTGCCGTGTGAACAAAGACCGATGGGAACCTAAGCTGATCGGCCAAAGGGGTTCGTAGTATATCAAGAGAAATGTCATCAGTTTGTGTTTATTCCTTACTGACCTGTTTCATTGTTAAGTAGTGCATATTTGAGGGCAATACACTGAAACAACGGTCATATCGAACAGTGCTTTACACACTCGCCCCAATATAAGCTTATTTTTGACACCAAAAAAGCTATGCAACTGATCAAATTTAAAAGGGACCTGTAAATCAGAGACAGAATGTCGGACACGAATTACAGCAACGCTTGATACTTTCTGATGAAGGTCATAAGGCAATTCTCGTTTGTCTGTGATTGGTTGTCTTTAAGTAGACCTGGATGAAATCATGTTCTCCGGACTTGAGTTTTTTTTTAATTAGTGCACCTGTGTAGTGTTCTGGGCGCCGTAAGATTTGTAGACTCAATGTGTGTCTTGAGGCCATCCTGGAAACATTGTTTCTATCAGATCTCACAGACCGCAGACTTCTCCCTAGGGATTCTTTCTGAAACGTAGCACATCTTGATGCGGGCTTAAACAGTATGCACAATTCTTTCAGCATTGCTGTTTGTTTCTGTAACCAGGCACTTCATAATCTTTTGCAGTAGAGCATCTTTACACACCGTACCACTAGCAACTTAGAGTGGTTGTCTGTACTTCGTGTGACAAGGCGTTACTCGTCGCGTTACTAGTCACGATTATGGGCGTCTTTATAGTCGAAAGGTGTTACCCACGCTGACTCATCTTTGTTTTCAGTTTGGGCCTCAAAAAAGGTGTAAAAATTGCTGCATATCACCCCTGTAAAAACCAAAAGACGGGGTGTGAAGTTGTAATCAATAAAAGATAACACAATTGCACAAACGTCTGGAACTTCCTAACTGAAATTGGCATCCAGAGACTTACCAAGATTTTTTGTAATTAAAAATATCTGATCCAAATCGGACGATCCCGGCCATAGCGGAGCACCCGTTACGAGTTCGGCGAACACGCAACCAATAGCCCAGACGTCCACTGGCGGACCATACTGAGTGTCACCAACAAGCAACTCCGGAGCTCGATACCACCTTGTGGCCACGTAATCTGTGTACTGTCCTTCTGAACCAGCTGCCGAAGTGGATGGGGGAAATGACTACGACTGATAAGGGGACTCGTAAGCTCTTCGACAGCATTGTGTATTTCATGGTTTGTAATAAACAGCGATTTTGAAACTAACCCATTTTATTTACTAAGGAGAAAAGAGTTTTGTCAGTATTACGGGATTCTAACTGATATAATCACGCAGGTGATGTGCCTACAAAGGACATTCTCTTATAAATTAACATTATCTTTTTACATTCAGTAGATTTAAATCGTATACAGCATAAATTCCTCAGGTATGTCATTCCTCCCGGGCAACTCAACACGAGATGAAATGATAACGCATTGCCAAATCCAAGGCTGAAGCTGTCGAACGACCATGCATCTATTGAAATTATGAGGTTAACGGTTAAGCAACCACCCATCTACTTCCAAGATTTATGTGACCTAAAGAGAATATATGCTCATTCTATCGAACGTTCATAGATATGTCTTCAAAGTGTGCTTTTTATGATAAGTTTATGATGAAAATATTTGAGACAAATGTAACTGACATTGGGACAAAGTATTAAGTTGGCCTAAATATGCACGCCAATAGTTGGCTGACCAGGTGTATTGGGCATGTTGTTGAAAGCTCCCCCATTAACCTTGTCATTGAATTCATTCTGAAAGATTACCGACTTCTCAACTATGTTTTTTCCTACATCTTGAGACAATTCATGCGGGACACCTCCAATTAGTGTGCCCTGAGGAAAGCTTCTATGAGTTCTGCAACATTTTGCAACACAGCACCTACTCGTTGGCTGGAGAGCAAGGTGAATGTGGTTGACCTCACACTTCAATGAATACGATTGAAAACTTCTCTCCGACACATAATATGGGCGTTTCACTGCTGTTAAACGGTGAAAAAGACCTAAGCGACACGTCCAACAAATATCAATTAGTTGTGACTTACTCAAAAATCTAGCGAACCCAAAGTCACAAAGCTTCACTTCGTTAGTTCTGCTGATTAGAATATTTTCCGGTTTTATGTCACGATGAATGCACTGCAAAAAATGAACAGAAATGAACGTGATTGCTTCGAACCGAATACGAAAAGAGTCCTTGAGAAGACAAACGCCATCCATTTATCAATCATAGAAATTTTCAAAACACAATCGTAAAAAAGTTGGGCGGAGGATTGGCTGTTAGGTCACTACTGTTGCTCTATGTTTGGGGACGGAAGCGACCAGTGGCTCAAAACACTTACTTGCATTGGTTGTTGATCAGGTGGCTGTTGATCTGTTCGCCGAGCTTGGCAATTGGCTTGCAGACGCTACGTCACCATACGAGGAGACATCATCAGTGCGCAGTTGGGTGGGTACTTCTTCCTTGCCTGCGTGCGTTTATATAGCATTCGAAGGCTATCTGTTATCTTCTGGCGCGATTGGCTACTTGAAGTGTAACGAATTTGGTGAATCTATGGGTTTATTTGTGATCTTTGTTGCGTTGTGGTCTGCGTTCCTTTGTGTTGATTGGCTATCCCACTTCAAGTAGCCAATCATGTCAGAAGATAACAGATAGCCTTCGAATGCTATATAAACGCACGCAGGCAAGGAAGAAGTACCCACCCAACTGCGCACTGATGATGTCTCCTCGTATGGTGACGTAGCGTCTGCAAGCCAATTGCCAAGCTCGGCGAACAGATCAACAGCCACCTGATCAACAACCAATGCAAGTAAGTGTTTTGAGCCACTGGTCGCTTCCGTCCCCAAACATATGACCTCCAAGTATTTTTCGAATTTGCAAAAAAAAACGATGAGCATTGTATGACTGAGTAGTATTTTGTACAGTACTACCACATTCTCTGACCGCTACACGAATCCGCTGTTTTAGAGAAGGGGTCGAAGGATACTCACAATTGCTTACTGATTTTCGGCCATACACAACACCCATAGTTTTTTGCCACTTTTTTTTCAAAATATCGAAGGCTTATTTCAAGTTTGAACCTTTCTTTCTCCAACATCCTGAACTCCGGTCCCATCAAGAGCCATGCGTTAAATTCAACTGGGACCGTAAGCATTGTAATGCTCTATACTGTTAGATCGTGCGTCCACGTTCTAGTTTTTATCTGGTATTTTCACCTAAGAAGCAATGATGAAACGCTTCAATGATTTCCAACGAGGATATTATCTTGGCCAGTATTTCATTCTACAGTTAAATCCATAAAGTACGAGATAGCTGCTACATTTTTGTTTGAAATTTTCATCCCCATTTCTCTGACAAACACCTGAGAAGGTTCGAACCCATTATTCTTCGTTGAGCATGGTTGATCAGGAATGCGATTAACCCACACGCAAAATATATCCTCAGTCATCCTTTACTGACGAATATGACAGTAGTTCATCAAGTCTTGAATGGCTTCTCTAATAACAACCTCTCAGATGAATGGCTCATGAAACATGTGAGATCTTTTCCGTTTGACGCTGATTTCTAAGGAAAAACGCCCAAGAAGTTGAATGGCCTTTTGTTTATGAAACTGGCACTCGAGGATCCCGTCGATATTGTGTAAAGTGACGTAAACTGTGTGACTGGACGATGAGCTGAACTTGTATCCCGGTCAGCCGCGCCAACTCTTGACAAAAAACTTCGAAAACAGAGTAGTTGCAGAAGAGGATTTCACGAACCGCTCGGCGCTAACATGTCTTTCTGAAGACGATTTATAAGAGCATCAAAGCTTATCACTTATTCTCGTTTACACCATTGTTGTTGGAACAGCCTCCCCTCGTCCTGGCGCAATTGTTCTAATGAGTCCACACCAAATTTTGGAAGCACGGCACTCTTGTTGCACACTTATTAGAGTTTACTAGCAGTGTATATCCGTGTAAATCCCAACCGAAATTCCAAAGTATCTCCCCGGCCTACGCAACGAAATTGCACTTACCTAAACAGTTTGGCACTAATAGTTCCCTGGTTGGGAGTATATAGATCAGAAGACCTCCATCATCGAAATTGACAAACGACTCCAACTTACCGCATGACCAAAGTAGTTGAAATCCAGAAGTATCAAGCCACTGGCAGGGTAGATCAGCCTTAGGACGAGGTTTAGACATGAAAAACTGTATAAAAACTCGGATAACCGGTGCAAAATAGAAGCTATTATCGTTCTACGGCTTATTCCCAGTGAATGACTGTCATCTCTGTGGTGAGGCCAAATCTGGTTTAAATTCAAAAAAGCGGTGCTAGGACCAGGAATCTATGTTCACATATTCACGCGCCTGGTCGTTCTTTGCTTGATACGCGCGTTCTCCAAAGCTTATGGTCGGTATTTTATGAGCCACATATTCGCAGTCAAGATGACAGGTCTTCGTTGTGTGAATTGCCGTGTTTTTCAGAGTGCGCAGTTCGTACCAGGAACAACTCCTATTTCGAGGATAAGCAAAACACAGGAAAACATGTCGGAAGTGGAGGAGATTGATCTTCACGGAGGATGAAGAGTAAAATATCTGTTGCCTGTGCTTTTAGGGATACATGTCAGTCAGTTGAGAAAGCGAAAACTGATACAGATAGAATCAAATGCGGCGCGAGAACTGTTTTCACACTCTATGCGAAGAATCATACTACGGCTTGAGGCTATACCAATCTACCTAGCTTTCAACCATGCATAACGGTGGACATTAACGTTGGCCAGTATAGGCTAGAGTTTTCAAGCAGGTGAATAGGACTAGGGCGTGGCACTTCTAAATTAGCGCAAGATTTGACTGGTCGATACGTCTGAACCCATTTCTATTGACCACCTCCATGTCAACGAAGCGCGGCCAGAACGAATTATCCAAAATGAGATATTTAAGACTCAGACTAACGGTTCTGTGAATCTGCTCGCACAGCATTCTATCCGCATTCATTGAACTGAATTGCCATAAAGAACTGTTTTTTTCCAGGCATTATGGTCTTTTGTCAGATTATTTTGCGCAGATAACCGTAGATACGCAAGAGACCTAATGGACTGCCCCTTTGAACGATGTGAGGTTACGTTTTTGGCAGGACGGCAGGACCAAGGAAAATTCTACTGGAGAGTGGGGTGGCCACAATAGCTGTTAGTTGTTCTGTTGAACTGAGCTGGTTACAAGAGGGACGAACGACAATCATTCTCCCTTCAAAGTTGACAAGCCCTACCTCATTAAACCCTTTCTATGGCTTATACTAATTCGGTCTTTTGAAATTACCTGCCCATTTAACTGGATTTCAGCTTGTCATGATCTGAAAAATAGTTTTACAATGGCAATCTAACTTCCACACACCCGGCTAAAAGTAGGTTGGTGATTGTGGGCGGAATAACTGAATCCTGGACTTTGTCTTTGTGAAATTTTGGTAAGTATAGGCTCAAACGTTTGAGAAAATACAGAGAACTGCTTCATTTGCCTTCCCAAGGTTGTTTCGTCGATGATCTGGAGCGACACGGTTGGATAGCTACACATTGGAGGCAGTGACCTATATAAGTGACGCGTAAACACGGGGGTGTCAACAACCTTTCATTAGAGAGATTGGTAGAAAAGCTATGCATTGGAAGCTACAGTTTGGACGTCAATGAGTGCGCGACTGGGCCAAATCTGACAGCCTCACGGGGTCCCCATCCAAAAAGAATGCAATGACAAGCGTAGCCGAGTCTGCTATTATTGGCTTTCATAAGTCACTGTCAAATCATACCTTGACTTCCCCTTGCTCTTTTCCACTCTTCGCGTGATCGTGCAAACAGGACACTTGAAGTTATTCGGTCGGCTAGCATATGGAGCACGTGACTAAGCCAGCTCAACCTGTGGAGTGGGATCAGTTCATCCATTTTGGGCGAGTTATCTCTTCCGAAAGCCATTCGAAGAAATTCAATATTACCGATCCGGGAACCCCACCAAACTAAGAGAAATTCTCCGAAAACATCGATAACCAAAACTGAAAGCTTTTCACTTCGTCGGTGCACAGCAGCCAAGTTAACAGGTTAACGATATGGAGCGCACCACAGCATCGTAAACTCGACCCCTGACATGTAAGCTCATATCGCGCCTACGCCACATGTGATGCAAGTTTATGAAAGCTTCTATGGCCCTCCCATTCCGGATGAAAATACCATCTTTCACGAGTCCACCGGGACTGATACAGCGAACCAGGTAGGCGAACTTGTCTACTACCTTAATCGGCCCATCCACAAGCATGAGGTTAAGGTCCGAGCTCATCCAGTCTTGCAGCGGCACTTCACACTTTGAAGGTGTGGATTGCGTGCCACGCCATAAGGTGGAATTATTCAGATTATTTAATGGCTCTATCGCGGAAGAGCTATATCCTCCGCGTACTCGATATCTGTGAGCAAATGTATGAAGGGCATTTCGACCCCACAAGTCTTACAGGCTGGGATTGAGTCTTCTATGGTCATACCGATGGTTTTAAAATGGAAAGCTGAAGCGAGACACCCTTGTCTGACACCATCTGATGCAATGAATTCAAGCAAAAGCTTGCCGTAGACCTTCACAGATCCGCGGGAGTTGCACCACAGCTCCCTAAAGAGGGTCAAGAATTTATTACCTGTAGACACCGTCATAGTGCTTGACGGTCCACAGCACCAAAGACAGTAATCCAGTCAAGGATGACAATGATTGCTGGTTGTGTTACTGTTACAGAATTTGTGGGAGGGTGAAAAATAGTCGATGTATCCTACTGCAGGACGTGATCAAGCTTGGTTTTTCACGGATCTGTCGTTCTCTGTGTTCAGTCTACCTCCGAAAGGTAAGACTAGATAGAACACTTTTGATGTCACAGTTACCAGGCTAATGCCATGGTGGTTTTTATGTAGTGTCCGTGTGCCCTTTTTGAAGGCAGGAATAACTATCGACCTGCCCCATTCTCCAGGCACTTTTTCTTCCTTTCATATCGAGCCAATAGGCTTTGTCAAGCAGCGAGCTTGATTAGATGGGTCACTAGATATTCTCCGGCTTCCTTGGATAGTGCGAGATAGATACCTTTCGGTCCTGTTGCCTTCTCACGTTTCAGTACTTCATTTCTTTTTCCAACGGGCGAT